AGCTACAACCTGTTGCTTCTTGGCAGTGTTCTGCGCCGCGTTCTTCTTTTTGTTGTCCCAGAACTTCCGCTTGTTGTCAGCGGCTTTGGAGGGTTCTGAGATGGCTAGGGTTGTTGTTGTTGACGGGGTGCGGACTTCATGATCAATGAGCCGCTATGCCAATCGTTTGGCACTGTCGAAGGTAGTGGGGTTTGAAGCTAATACATTCCCCTGAAATGGAGGCACCAGCCCCCAAATATACCTCTCAATCTTATTTCCCTCAGTAAGGACCATTCCCGGACATAGTGCCTCCAGATCGCTGAATCTGGCAGTATAGGCCACTATGTCGGAGCCCTTCATGGTTAGGCTCCAGAGTTCCTGTTCAAGTTTCTGAACTTCGCCCCTCGGGCAGTATTCCTCGATCATAAGCTCCTTCAGAGCTTCCCAGCCCATAGCATTTTCCATTATTAGAGTTAGTGACTTGACATGGCTATTCCACCATGTCAGGGCTCGGTCCGCGAAGGTGCAGGCAACAAATTTTACTTTGCTCCCTTCCAGACAGGAGCAGATCTCAAAGATCGACTCCGTTTTCTCGAACCATTGTGAGTGGGCAATGATTCCCCCAGTCCCATTGAAGGTCCTGGGTTTACAATTGGTGAAGTCCTTATACGAGCACTCTCTAGAGTGCACTGGAGCATCACCTTGAGTGGAATGAACAGTTGTTCCACTCCCACTAGTTCCACTAGCACTAAACTGAGCTAGGGCTGCGGTAACAGCCGCATTCACCGCAGCTTGGATAGCTGCTGGGTTGCATTGTGGAGGTGGTGGTTGTTGATTCGGAGTTATCGGACTAGTGTGTCTCGCTGATCGACGTGGAGGTATCTTGTAACTGTAAGTTTAAAAAGATGAAGATATTGGTAAGAATTCAATAGTAAGCACAGTGAGGGTGAATCATGGACTAACTCTCCATAGCCCAACATAACAGATGAATGTATGATTGAATTAGAGATTTATCAATAGAAGGATGAAAGCGTTTGGATAAGATTTCCCATGAGATTAGATATCTGTCAATAATACTGGTATTAAAGATGTAACAAGTTCAGGAAATATGACCTAGGAGTAGGTCTTACATCAAACCAGGATGAGAAATTTTTGACAGCATAAAGACCTAATAGACTGAAAGTTCAAGGTCTTAAGATAAACAAGAATTTACAGGGAACAGTGTTACTTAGAGCATAGATAAGAAGGCTATTCCTTTAACCAAAAGAAAGGATAAGAAGGTTATCCCTTGGGCGAACCCTTAAATCAGCCAGCTGACGCTCCATATCAAGAAGGCGTCGCTCGTACACTCGCTGGCGTACGCGGAGTTCTATGACTTCAGCTCGGGTTATCGCTAGTTCTTGTAGTAGAGACTCATTGTCTCTCGCAGCTCTCTTGCGAGCATCTTCAAGACGACAAATGCGGACAATATTAACTCCCGCCTTGGCATCAACCTGCATGACTCGGTTGACGGCTGTCCTACCCTGCTCTTCATTACGAGCAACCCTACGGACCAGAATAGGCAAGATTCTGTCCGCTGAGCCTCCCTCGCTCAGGTTGTAGAAACTTCTGTCTCCGTTGTAGGGCATGGGCTGACCCTGTTCTTGACTCCATGTTCCCAAGTTTTCCGCCCACAGAGGCGTCGGACCTTGAAAATTCGGACGAGGGTTAGGATTTAGGATTGGAGCTACCAGAGGTAGATCATTGACTTCTGGCTCGGAGTCAGAATCCTCCGGGAAGTTCTCTGCGAAGTCATCGTCCAACGGAATTGCATGATTCTCTTCTAGCTCATCATCAAGCCATCCACCATTGCCTTGGTTGGGGAAGTACGGGTCGCCGTGGGGATGGAATCCAACCATGTTATCTACGCGAGAATGGGGGTAAAAGAAACAATTAATAGACGTACTAATTAAGATAATTATAAGATGATCCTTACCAGTTACTCCAACATTAGTGCATACCAGTCATATGTAACCAAAACAGGACAGACCTTCGAATAAGTGATCCTAACTCTAAGTCCACAACCAAACACGGAACAGGAAGTAAAGCAAAGACCACAGATTCTAAGTCTATGACACCTTAGTCACATATAACCTTAGCGTATCCACTCAGCAACTATTGACATACTAGTAAATACCTTTTAGTTTTGCACATAAGTAATTATAGTAACACAAAATACTCCTATAGTATTTTAAGTTTATGTTATGTTCTAATGTTTTCATTGTATTAGTGTTGGTAAGTTTTTAGACTTGCTGCAACACCACAACCATTCCTAGGCACATGCTAATCACTTCTCGGAAAGATATAGTTGATTAGGCTATATCACTCCCAGATCTGATTATGCGTCCCCAAGCCAACTTGTGTTGTCCAACAATTGTAATACTTTTGTTCTGTCCTAGCGACACTGATTTTAGTATGAATGCAGGTATGTATACTTTGGTTAAATATTTTATTATTTCAAAGTATAAACTCTTGGTCAGAGTATTTTAATCCTGATGTGTTTATAGTTGTATATCTTTTATGGGTTGATATACTCAATTCACTATAAACAATGTAATGATACCAATCTGTCACACCCCCAAACCAGAACGGCGGAAACGTGCGGGGGCGGAGGACGTCATGTACAGTATCACAACAATGCATAATAGTAAAACAAGCAACAACATCATCCATTGCATTAATAATATAATTTAATACAGGTGTGTTCTGTATAGTTTATAAGACACCAAAATAAGAATCAAAATAAGAGATGAGTCTTGAGCGTGCTCCATCTTCTCAAAACCTGGTCATCGGTACCTGTCTATTGGTGACCTGAGAATACAAGTTATTTTGAAAGCGTAGATCAACATTAAAGTTGGTGAGTTCATAAGTATTTAGTGTCATTGTTTGTATAAATTTGAAGAAAGTGCTTGTAAATGTTTGATGTAAATGTTTGTGAGTGTTTGCTGTAAATGTTTGAATACTTCCTAGAAAATCCTATATTTTCTACTAAAGTAGCCTTCTACCAAGACTCGACTGTTTTGTAAGTTTCTTCTTTTGTAAAAGTGAGTGTTTTTCCCAAGTATGACTATCATTACCAAAATATAGATTTCATTACCGTTTATGTGAGAAGATCACAATGTGAATGAAATGGGAAAATAAAAATGTACTAACTACCTTAAACCTGTTTGTTTAATTAAGGTAAAATGTGATAAGATTGTAACCATACTTGATTGACTAGTATAACACGACGTTCGAGACATCGAAATGGTATGACATTCGTCACCCGTAGACCTGCAGGTCCCACTGTAGCTAGCAGCAACGTGTAGGATGGTCAATCCCGTATAGATCTATACATAAATTCACGCTCTCCCTCCAGGAGACTCTGGGTACAAAACGTGACACGGCAGTATATTGTCGCGCCATGAAGTAAGTGCTCACATTATTGTTATTGTATTCTTGTATTTGTATAGTATGTTATCTCTGTTTAGTGTATAGTATGTTCCCTCTGTCTAGTGTACAGTATGTTCTCTCTGTTTAGTGTATAGTATGTTCTCTCTCTGTTTAGTGTATAGTGTGTCTTGTTTCTCTTTATAGTATGTTTGAACTGACTCATGTATGAACTGAGTCTTGTATGTTTCATTGTTCTAGAAATAGTAAGTAGTGACTTCCTAAACTATACCTATTATAGTTTACTAGTAAGGTTGTTTGTATGACTGAGCATGTTTGTACACCTTTGCTACTCAAAGGTATTGAACTGATGTAAGAACTTTTATATCTATACACATATACATAATATATAACTAAGATTCAAACGACATTCGGACAAACAACCGATACCCTAAGTCCACAACCAAACAAGGAACAGGAAATAAGGCGAGTTATCAGTCCTAAGCCCTTTCAACCTTATTTATATAACTATATCCATATAGACATGATTTTGACAATATATAAGTTTAAAAGAGATTAATAAAGAATTTAACATATAAAAGAGTTTTAACCATTTGAACGGCTATAGATGACTTGATGTCTAGGTTACGAAGGTTATCGGGGTCTAGGTTTATGGATGGATTCCGTAATCGAAAGTCCCTCCAACTCAATCAATATCAACAACATGTCGTGACCGGTTAGGCTTGGTTGATTTTGTCAAAAAAGAAAGTAGGTTTCGGGGGTTCATTGATTAGTACACCCCCGGTGCTGGTAAGGTCGGGACCGTGGTCGTACGTCTCCGGTTTGCCGGCATATCTTCTTTCTGAGATTGACCAGCCAGCTGGGTTGGTTTGGCTATTCTTTTCTATTGAAAAGGAGTCAGGTGTCTGCGCGAGTCATCTTCTTCTAGGCTCCGCTGGACGACACGGCATTCTCGTTTCAATAAATAGATGTCGGCCGTACTTGTGATGGTTCCCAAGGATCCAATATGACCACTTCACTCAGGTCTACGTTGCCACGATATTTTTCTATGGAAGCGGGCGGGCTGTTAGAAGTTCGGCCCGCTTTTTTTTTGTCGTAGGGGAGGGATTGACCTTTCTAACGCATATTCAGTCGTACCGGCATGGCCCCACTGATTTCTTTTCGATCGGAGCATCCAGCAGCGCAACCCGGTTCTACTTGACTAAGCCCGTGCTCGTCCAAGGAGGGAGTTTGCTTTACCCAACCCCCTTTTTGATAACAAGGCAGAAAGCCCCGACCTGACATTCATCAGTTTCGAATGAAGAGTGCCCTGCCGCACCTACTCCTATAAAAAAGCGAGACTTTACTAAACAAGAAAAGCCCCTTCTATCTTATTAGTAAAGCGCTAACGCGCGCCCTGCAATCAAACTCAAGTTTAGCCTTGATCGATACGACAACCTTACTAATAGAAATGGTAAAAATGTGCTCAAGCAACCTATCTTACTAATATAATAAGAATTCAGGGCCTATCTAAGCCCTATGGTTGTAAAGCTACAGCTCGAAAGCCGGCCTTACCTTCTATGTTTTTAGTAAAGGGCCTTTTCAGGCTCGCGCTAGGCGCTCACGTTTTTTGGCTTCCCTAAAATAGCAGATTGAAAAGTTGGTAAAGACCCGCCCCTTGTTTCAGTCAGAATGAGTCCCCGGGACCCCGTGACATTGGCTTCCGCCAACAGTGAACTATTAAGGATCGCATCCCGCGCATATTCTACATTATAGCCTGCAACTGATTCAGCTTCCGCTTCTGGGAGATCAAACGGAGCTCGATTAGTTTCTGCTAGACAAGAAATAAAGAACATAACCAATACAGGGAACAAGGGAATACCGGACCATATCTGCTTTTACGCCATGACAATCTCACTCGAATTACGGGGACCTACACATATTAGTACAGTATATCGGGGTCCCCGGCCAGAACCACACGTGCAAGTTTCCCTGCATGTGGCTCGTCCGTGCTTTTCTATTCCGCTTTGCCGCCTATTATATTAATATAGTCCCGTTCGGTCCGCCTTTATTCATCTATACCAGCTGCCACGCACGAGCCCATAGAAAGGATTTCAGCGCCCCTCTCTAGATAAGAAGCAGAATGCGCCATCACCTACAGCCCTTTCCTCTGCCGGGGACTTCCACGAAATGAAAACGGGGGGCATCGTCGTATGCTCCACTTTTGTTGCCCTGGTTTATATCCCGGAGTACTCCTATGGCCGATCTGTCACCCAACCTACTTAAACAACCTAAAGGCTTGGTCCCGTCCCGTTTGGAGAATGACCCCTTATGGCACGGCTTAGTCAGTTATTCTCGCAGTTCAGATAAGATTCGGACCGCCACTTCTCTGAAAACATGGTTCTTGCCCCCCTCTCTCCTCCCCCCTTTGAGCTCGTCCATTCGTTGGGTGATCCCTTGCTCTCACGTTCGAGTGTTTGCTCGTCGTTTAGGCCGATGAGTGAGATTTCTGCTCATTGCAGTCACCTCCGGGCTTCTTCGCACCTGGATAGTACTAGGACCCTTGTGCCCGGGCCCTTGATCAGATAAAGTTGCCCGCCCTATGACCCACAACTCAAAATGAGCCTTGCGACGAGACGCGGACATTCCCCATGCTAGAAGAAGATGACTCACACAGACAGCTGACTCCTTTTCAATAGAAAAGAATAGCCAAACCAACCCAGCTGGCTGGTCAATCTCAGAAAGAAGATAGGCCGGCAAACCGGAGACGTACGACCACGGTCCCGACCTTACCAGCACCGGGGGTGTACTAATCAATGAACCCCCGAAACCTACTTTCTTTTCTGACAAAATCAACCAAGCCTAACCGGTCACGACATGTTGTTGATATTGATTGAGTTGGAGGGACTTTCGATTACGGAATCCATCCATAAACCTAGACCCCGATAACCTTCGTAACCAAAGCGTCACGGCAACATCCAAAGGTCACCCTTGGATTCTTAGGGGGGCAAGGAAGAGGTTGTTATGTTAGTTGTAGCACGCCTTCCCTCTTTATAACACTTCAGAAAGATTTTGCAGTCTTTTCTTATGATGACCTGGTCGAGAGAGTACGATACATCGGTGTAAAAGATTGATCCCTTTGGATCTTGGTCCATGATGGCCTTTTGATTAATAGAACTGGAAGAGGAGGAAAAGAAAGAGCTTATGATGACCATCTATTTGAGTCGATCATTTCGTAGATCTAATTCAAGTGTTTTTTTTGCAGTGGAAAGGCCTTCAAATCTGAAGTTTGACGCTTAAAGGAAGAAAAATAATTAGCTTTGGTTCAGAGCTTGAATCAGAATATCGTCACCCCAGGTGAGGAGTTCGGCTAAGCAGCTAGTTGCCTTCTTAGCCTTCCTAGACCGCTAGTTGACTTCTTAGCCTTAAGGGCTTGAAGAAGATAAGGGCATGGAGATTGACCCATCTCTTAGCCTGAGCTTGCTGGCTAGCTCTATTGGGTTGGTGTCGGGTTAGCCCTTAGTTTCCTTCCTCTCCTTCTCTTTCAGGGCTCGCTTCTCTCATCTCTAGTTTTTCGTCTACTTCTTTCCGGAGCTGTAAAGGAACTTCATTCCCATCTATTCGGCTCCTACCCGCTTCTACCAGGGGTTACCAATTCGTTATCAACGGCTTTCTTACAAGAAAATGTTATATCATGGGCTTCAGGTATCACTGTATAGATTTCCCTATTTGGTACACATAGCTTTTTTCCTATCTCTCTTTTTAGCATTCCTTCTCTATAGCCTGTGTCTATCTTCTGTCAATTCCTATTCTCTATCTGGTCTAATCGGCTAAGTCTTCTATCTCTTTCGATGTAGTCGATGTCGGACTAGGAAAGCCAGTAAGGTCAAGTGTATTGAAGTTCTACCAATTCACTTACTAAGGAGCGTAACGAGCAAAATCTAAGGAGCTATAGTGTTGTTTCAGTTTCAGCCTTAGATTCTTTCTTTTTAGCATTCCTTATTAATCCTTTTTTAGGGAGATGTTGAGACTTTCAGGCTAGTAACAAAGTACCTTTCTAGGTGTAAGGATGCAGGTAAGAGAATTAATCTTAGCTGATGTACATGTAGTAGCAGCATCCAGTCTAGCCTTGGTCTAATTCCTACTTAAAGGAGGGGTCTTATTCACTATATGCGCATTCCCTGCATTCTATGTCCGACTATTCCACCTGAACCATATTAGTCAAGGGAGTAGGGCAGTCTTAGTGAAATTACCCTGGGGAAGATCTTATTAGCTCCTATTGATTCTAGGTTATATGCCGACAGTTCTATTGACAGTGTAGGATTTGACGATCGTAGTATGATTGATTCCCGACCGGGGAAGACTTCTTATATAATAGAAGGGAAAGTAAGCTAATTCCAATGATTCGAGATCTGGATAATGCATTGAGCAAAGCTGCTGAAATAGGACCGCTTGTCAGCCTACTCCTCCATTTATAGATTTCTATTCTATAATAGAAGAAATAAAGCCTCGAGCTATTAATTACTATGAGAGCTAAGCTACTCTTTTTGCTTAAGAAAGATGGTCATAAAACGAGATCTTTCATCAGCTAGGCCTGACCTGGTGACATACTCCAGATGAGTGGCCAATCCCTGGAAGATCCTGATTCTGATTCAGTAGTATGCCATATTGGAATGAAAGGAAAGTAAGCTGCTTCACGACCCTTTCACTTTATTAGCTTTTAGGCCATGCAGAAGGAGCTAGCTCGACCATTTACTGAGCTCTTTTCGAAATGGTAAGACTTTCCTGCTATATGAGAATGAACTCATTTCAAATGCTTCGCCTCTCTCCCATTGTTCCTTCCACCTTCGTGCCCGATCCGGTCAGTAGGCGTCAGTGAAGTGAATGTTGTATGCTAAGAGGGGAAATGCCGACATCTAGCACATAGAAGAGCGGATTCGCTTCTAGCCGAGAAGACTAATAAATGGAAGGATCAAGAATGTTATATATTTCAGGAGCTAGATCAGTTGCCGATGAACAAGTCAGAATTTCCTCAACAAAAATAGATGGAATTGGGCCTAAAAAAGCCATTCTGGTTCGTTATCGATTAGGTATCAGTGGGAACATAAAGATAAAAGAATTAACTAAGTATCAGATCGACCAAATTGAACAAATGATAGGTTAAGATCATGTTGTTCATTGGGAATTGAAGAGGGGAGAACGAGCAGACATCGAACGATTTAATTTCTATTTCTTGTTATCGTGGAATTCGTCATCAAGATGGATCACCCTTACGCGGTCAACGAACTCATACTAATGCTAGGACTTGTCGCAAGCAAATTCGGAAATGAAAGAAGTCTACCGAAAGCCTTGGTACTTGTCTGATCAATCACACTGTTCAATAGTTCACGTCAATTTTGATTGGGGGATTTCACCGGTTACTAATCCAGTATCGGTATAGTAGGCCTCCTTGGCCACTCCACTAGTGGCTCGGCTTCGTCCTAGAAGCTACTGCTTCCGCCTCTCTAGGCTTCGCTATCGCTCATGACTGGTATATGGATCTCTCTATGTAGTGGTCGGCCTTCTAGAAGCTTCGCCAGAAGCGACTAGTCGCTTCCCGAATGCCCCTTTCCTTGCCGCCAAACCACTAGGAGAGTCAGCAAGCTAGCTTGCTCGCATTCTAGAAACGGTAGCTTCCGTGCCCTTCCTGCCTACTGAAATGGATGTGAATGATCGTGACAGCTCTTAAAATCCTATTCAGTCTGATTAGATATGTCACTGAAAGAAAGTGATTCTGTTCCCTCTCTTTTTTTTTAGGATTCCGAGGATGGGCCGGCCCATCCTAACATCATTTATGAGGAGCCGGACGACGAAGCCTCCTCCTCAGATAAAGATGTCTCCGACGCAACTCTCCCGGCAATCAAAACTTTATCTATTTATTTGTTTTTTGGCGGGTTCGGTCAGGAGGGACAAAAGAGAGATTCTATCAGTCAAAAGCAGATACCGCCCCCCATGCTCCTACGGTCCGCTTACCGAGGAATAGAAAGGAAGGACCCGGGGCCAGAGCAAGTTGGGTTGGGGTATAGAGCCGTAAGCGCAGTGGGGGTGACAAAGGACGTGCTCGTACGGTTCATATAAGGAAATGAAAAAGTCATTGATTGTTGGGAACTTTCACTCCTCTATATTCGAAATATGCCTTTCTAGGAGCATTACGATCTGCAGCTCAAATGGTCCCTTATGAAGTCTCTATTGGTCTTATTCTTATAAAAAGGTTTTTGAAACAGTTTGATAACACAGTTTTGAAGAATAAGAAATCTACTTTATTGGTAGTTATTAATCACATGTGATTGATATAATAACTATAATGTTTTATACTTGTATTCTCCCCCATAAAAGCATTTAAAATCATTTAAAAGATAAGTTAAGGGGGTATGAACTCACCTGTAGTGAGTGATACGAATGTAAGTTTGATATAGGATGCTAAGTGTCAAGTGAAGCCTCGAGCACAAACGGATCCTATTAAGCATATAAAGACACATATATGTATATAATTAGTGTATATACATCTAATCATGCTGGGAAACCACCTTAAGGACAAGGAAAAACTTAGATTAAAGTGTTACAATCACATGGGATTGCATAAAAGGGGTTTAAGGCCACACAAGAGTGTGTACGGCCAATGGGCGTACGGCCATGGAGTGTACGGCCGTACACTCATGGAAGAAATATGCAAAAAGGGTGCTTTATGGCCCTATCTAGCATCCACTAAGTGTTCTTGATCCTAAATTAGGACATGAGGTAAGTTTAAGGCCATATCATGCACTTAACAAGGGTTTACGGCCATATGAGGTGTGTACGGCCGTACACCCTTGAAATTCTTGCATTAGATGATGATTCAAGGCTAGTAATCAAGTGTTTCACATGCCTAACTAGAAGATAGAAGAGAAACTCACCCTTTTGAAGGCTCCTAAAGAGTTCACGGCCCAAGTACAAGTAGGTGTTCTTGGTGAAAGTGTTAATACTTGAAGATTTACCCAAAAAGACGAATTTCATGGATGAAATCAAAGGGTGATACTAGATCATGAAGGATAATCAACTAAGAAATGGAAGGAATTATTACATTTTTGAAGATCAAGGTGAAATGCTTGATGATACTTGAGAGAGAATTGACTTTTCTTGACTTGGAAGTGTGAGAAATGAATAGAAATGAAGGTATAACTCATATAAGGGAATGAGTTCACGGCCACCATGGGTGTACGGCCGTACACCCATGTGTACGGCCGTACACACCTCTTGAAGGAGTGTTTGGCCCGTATGCAATACTTTGAACTTTAGTGACTCATTCCTAAACCCAACCCTTGAATGCACAAGGCTTAGAACACTCAAACAGACCTTAAAAAAATGCTAAAAGATAGCAGAAACGAGTCTGACTTTGATTGAATTGAATGACTGTACAAGATAGAAATTTCGGGTTGTCACAAGAAAATCTTCAATAATAATATGGAGAAACAACACTTTGTTTCAGATCTGAATGACTGGATTGATAGGAAGAAGTTTGGAGATGTTCTTACTCGCAGGTCAAAGCGTGATCCTGTCATCAAAGTAAGATGCACCAAACCGAGGAATGAGTCACCGAAGCATCACTTGGTGAGAAAGAAAACAAAATATGAATACACTAAAGTTGTTTATGCTTGTGAGGTAGTCAAATTTGGCTACAACGAGTGGATGAAAATTCAAGGAATTATCAACAAACACAAGGGTGTTCATGCTCAATAAGTGAAGTCGGCTATGCATCAGCTACTCAACAAAGTCAAGAAGCTGAATCTTGTGCCATCAGTTGGTCCATCATCAGGTGGTCAATCAAGACCATCCTCCTCAGGCAGAACTGGTGCTCCTAGACAATCCAAAAATACCAAGTTTCTTCTTCCTTATAAAACTCGGTATATCAACAATAAATTACCAGTGGGTGTTGAACCAGTCCATATATGTTCATTCCAGAACCAGAGCATGTGATATTTTATCTTGACAGTCAGAATCATATGTGCTTTCAACGCACTGATGACCTTCCTTTTTCTCCCACTGAGCATTTGTTTCATCTTCGCTTGGAAGGACTAGGTCACTATAAACTAGAAAGAGGATATCGTGTGCTGATATCACTGGAGCTTAGTAGATGATTGGATGAACTTAAGCTCGATCAATTCAGATGGGTCAAGCTTGAAATCTTAAAAGAAGCTGATAAGTTCTACAATGGCTCTTCCGATGACTCTGAAGAAGAAGATTAGTTTTGACATCATCAGATGAGGGGAGATTGTAAGGTCACACCTTATGATCTGATGAGTCAAACACACGACACGCTGAAAGTTCAACGTCAACGTCTACTACATCTACATTGCCAGCGTATCAAGTTTATCAGCGTCAGCGTATAGTACAGTTATCCGATTGTAATCTTTTATGTATTAGGTAATGATATAGATAAGTATAGAATAGATCACAGAGCCGATATCTTTGTGATAAGATCGGTTCTTAGTATAGATTAGACACAATCCCTTGAATCATGGGATATACATGTATAGATTAGTATATATACAACATTAGGGAAAACCCTAATCTAGTGATCGTGGGTTTGTGTCAATCATCTTTGTGACAAACCCGTCTTCTTGGTGACGACAAAACCTCTTTCTTGGTGAAAGAACAAGTAGAACTTTTGTGTTATTTACTTTATGTTTATTCTTTTGCTTAGATTAGTTTAATGTTTGTTCTTAATACTTGGAGTGTGTCCAATCAATACAAACCTTCAAAAACCCAAACATGTGTGGGTGTATGTGTGTGTGAAGTCGATCCTGGAAAACAAACATATGGTTGTGTATTTCAAGAACATGTTTATGTCACTGTGTTCTTGGGGTGGATCTGAAATCTCTTTCTTCTCTTTCCTCTCTTCTAGAATAAAATCAAAATGAATAGGTGAGTTTATGAACGAAGGGTTGCTTTGGGTTCATCATATCTGAATATTTGTTCTTGGGTGTTCATCAGATCTGGATACGATTTTTGATGAAAAGGGAAAGAAGATGAAGAATACAAACTAATGATGATGTTTGGTGGTAGCTTCAATTGAAGGTGTGGCTGGTAATTGAGAGAAGGGGAGAGAGAGAGAGAGAGAGAGAGAGAGAGAGAGAGAGAGAGATGGTGATGTGTGTGGGCCCCCTTTTATTTTTTTAATTATTAAAATATTAAAATAGATATTAAAAATGTAAAAATAAAAATAAAAGGGTATAATAGTCATTTTAATTTTCGAAGGGACCATATCCACATAAAACATGGCAAAAAGGACCATGAAGCCAAAAAGTCGAGGTTTGGACGAAAACCCAGAAAAAATGCATACCACAGGGATCATTTTTGTAGTTTTGTCGTGTTTCTTTTAGATAGCTTTTAATTTGGAACAAAATTACAATATGGTTCCTGTGATATGCATTTTTTTCGGGTTTGGTCCAAACCCCGACTTTTTTAGATTGATGTTCCTTTTGAGCTAGTTTCGTTGCGTATTTGGTCCCTCCAAATATTGAAATGACTACAATACCCTTGGGGTATTTATTTTATATTTTTTTTCATTTTTTTTTAAAATCTAATAATTATTTATTTATTTTAATAATAAAAGAAAGTAAGAGGGGCCCCCACCTTCTTTCTCTCTCTCTCTCTCTCTCTCTCTCTCTGGGTTTGTATTTGATAATCACTCAAGAACATCTTCATAAGCTTAAGAACATCTTCATGAATTTAAGAGCATCTTCCGCCGCCACCACCATTTGACCACTGTCGGCCACCACCACAGTCCGCCACCACCACCTTCTGCCACCTAAATTTTTTCTATCACTTCATATATGTAGGCAGATATGAAGACTCTCCCTCTCCTTCTACGGATCTGAAAACCCTTCTTGGATTTGTTCATCTCGGATCTGTTCAAGCCCTAGGTTGGTCATATAAATGTTCACACACACTTGCAGATTCGGCATTGTAACTAATAAGAAACACACAAAAAGCACCATTCATCCCCTCTGTAACGTCCCAAAAATTCTAAGGGGTCGTTTGATAGTTGTCGGCTGAATTAGTACTGACCGAGTTAGTGTTGACTGAGTTAGAACTTCTGACTGAGTCCACATCTAACTGAAACCATGTTGTTTGATTATATTTATGGCTGACTGTGGTGAATGATGAAAAATGATCATATTACCCTTATGTTGTCTCTTGTGCTCAGAGTCAATTCCAATGTTTGATATTTTTTTCTTTATAATGCAGAAAAATAATGATATACAACATTGAACTTCATTTTTTTTCATTTTATTACAACATCGAACTTTTTTTCTTTTTTTACAACATTTCATGTCATCTTTAACCCATATGCACCTTCATCAAAAGTATAGTATTTTGGCATAGCATGGTAAGGAATATCTTTAGCTGAAAACAAAGCACAAGGAATCATGTGAATACTTGATAGATTTTATCATATGATCATGTGAATCTTATGCAAATGTTTGTAAGAATCTACTGTTACCAAAAAAAATTCAACATATGAATAATTGATGGATTTCTAAGATGGTATAAAGTAAAAAAGTCAAATAAAGTAATAATCTCATGATTTACTGACTAACAATTGCTCCATAGGCTTCCATTTTCCCTACACAAAATATGCCAAACAAATGGACCATATTTAACATTTTTTAGTAAGAGATTGTTAAACCAAGCTTCATAGTTTGTGCCTCATAAGTCACAATATATCACTACATAATGGAACTATTAGTGTTGTTAAGGGGCTTATTTGTTATCACTAATATGTGTTGATTGAGAGCCACAATATTAATTTCATGAATCATTTATTCCAATTGAGCTTCAAAGTATCTGCATCTGTAAACAATCAATGGTGGAATGTTAAGAATAAATTAAAATTTTAACCACCTTACTAGCCCTACAAACATTATAAATTACAAATCATAACCAATCTTTATTAAAAAAAATCACCTTAATACATCAGGCTGACTTTTTATTTTTCTTTTCAAAACCAAGAAGGACAAAAAAAAGCAGCTTTTTTGTCCTTCTTGGTTTTGAAAAGAAAAATAAAAAGTCAGCCTGATGTATTAAGGTGATTTTTG